CTCTATGCACTCTCATCACTTGCAATCTACTAATCAGATATGTGGCACGTACATATTTATAGTTATACAAGAAAAACTGATTCTTTCTCTTGCTGTGTCATTCATCATTACGTATATTTCGGAGAAACCTCGCAACGTATAGGCCATTACGTGAACGCACAGTGGAAAACCGAGTATATACACAAGAAACAAAAAGCCCAAGTCAAATGCACTTAATGCAATAATGGACAAATTTTGTAAGTTATCAATTACAACCTTTCAAGCGCAGTAGACGATTTTTACAGAATCCTTTTAACTGTGCTTGAAGTAGGGAGGGTAACAATTTGATCCAGTTGCTGTTTGGCGTAAAAACAGGCAAAATGAATCCTTATTTTGAGTCCCTTAAGGTACAATTCCATTAATAAAAATTGTTTTTAAGTTAAAAACTGTAAACAGGACTGTTTTTCACAGTAAAAAGCTACAGCGTTTTAAATGTTTCTAGGCTTGAATAAGTCGGAATAGCATTGGAAAACTTGTCTTGGCGGCTCTCAAAGTGAATACCATTGTAATTATACAATGCTTAGCAAAACATGATGAAATATTCATGTCGTGCAGTGGAAATACTAGAAGCACGGCCAAGGTTCCGTCTAGAAAGGAAATCTATTGAAAATCGCGATCGGGGAAAATAGATAAACATGCCTACAGATTCAATTATTCCAAACGTATAAAAATAAATATTTCAGTTATGCAAATTCAAGAATTTACAATGTCTCAATATAGTTTTTGTTTTTTTACTCTATTAGGTAAAGCGAGGTAGAACTTGTCGATGTTAAAAAAAATATACAGACGAATTGAGTACCTCCTTGTTTCGGGAAGTCGGTCAAAAAACTGATCATAATATTTTTTCTTACTTTAATCTTATTATCTCCTCCTTTTTATATCTCTAAAGTAGATCATACCAGACTTCTTCAAGAAGGCTATAAAATAAAGAAATTAATAGAGTTTATATCACATAAATGCTAAAACATCTCATTAGGTAAATCATTATATTGTCTACTAGCTTTCGCCGCAACTATAACCGCGAGGAATTAAAAAATCAAATGTACGAGTATGTAGCCTATGTTTTCTTCCAGACTATGTACTATATCTATGCCAAATTTCATCGAAATCCGTTTAGCCGTTTAGGCTACAAACTCTAACATCCAATTTTATCTAAACTTTGGCATTTATGATTTAAGTAAGAATTAAGAAGACTTTATTGCCTAAACGCCAAAAAGTTTATAAGTCGAGCGAAGAAAATTTCCTTTTAAAAGTGGCTTTCTGCAGTATACCGTTTTGAGGAGAGGCCGGTGCAGAGCCGGTTCTCGTGATGGATGGCCCGAGTGACGTCAAATTACTGCTCCAACATAAGGAAAGTGGCACCATATTCTGATATTAACGTAAATTCGATGCTGTTAATGCATTACACCGGTTCACAGAATAAAAAACAGAGACGTAAACTTGGTTTCTGAAGTTTGCATTTATATCACCTAGCGATTTATTAATGTAAGGTTGACTTAAGTTTCAACAGAGTAAAACTCGACTCACCTAGTTCGGAAACGTTTCATGAATTTATTAAACTTAAAAAAAATCAAAAACCCCAATGGTTAAATGTAGCTGGGAAACCGGCCATTAATGATGTAATATACGGCATTTTAAAGTATGATTCCGTTATACAGTAAAGGACATTAAGATAAAGTCATCAACGCTGTAAAAATAGAGGTTATAATTATTAACAACTAGCTTTTGCCCGCGACTCCGTCCGCGTGGAATAAAAGAAACAAAAGTGAGCCTATGTGTTCTTCCAGAGTATTCTCTACATCTGTACCAAATTTGATTGAAATCGATTCAGCCGATTAGGTTATAAACTTTAGCAAACATCCATCCATCTAAATTTTCATATTTATAATATTGGTATGAAGTATGACATATTCTCGAAAGAGTTTAGTTTTAATGCATATTGTAATTAATGCTAAACTCAATGTTTTATTTAACATTTAATTAAACCATTAACTCTGAGTGTGTTGCAACTCTTTTCTTGGGGTGGGTGGACCATCAAATCGAATTATTTTAAGCGCTTAGTTCGGTAAAACTGTGGTCGGATTGCACTGAACGCAGTCTGTACTGGGTGCGTTCATAATGTCGGCACAATTGAAAGACAAAAGTAAAGCTAAGACAAGTGAAATCTAACACTAGCTCACTCATCTCCCTCCTCGACTCATCAACCTATTCCCACGGGCGGTGATCGTAAGTCCATAGCGTTTATAAAGTTAACAGTACACCGTTTGCTATATGAAAATATATGGTTGAGAAGATAAGGAGTAAAAGGTTAGAGTGGTATGGGCATGTTATGTGAAGGGATGAATCGCATGTAACAAGAAGGACGTTAGTTATGAATGTGGAGGGGTACATCGGTAGAGGTAGACCTAGAAAGAGATGGATGGATTGCGTGAAAGGTGACATGATCAAGAAGGGATTGATGACTGAGATGACGGATGATAGAGGAGAGAGAGATAGAGCTTTGGAGGACGAAAACCCGGTGCGCCGACCCTACGGGAGTAGGATAAGGCAGGGGAGATGATGAGTACACCATTTGCTATAATATATATGACATAGTTTAGCTGCTGTACAGCATAAAAACCGAACAATATCAGCAATCCACATCATAGTGTTCTCTTTGTCTCATTTTGCCGAATTCATAAAACATTCAATTAGGCTCTTAATAAAAATATAGCTTTCAATTAGTAAAGCATAGCAATAACATTGTACACTGGCCTTTATTCACATCTCCATGCTAACAATGACGGAACAGTGTTTCTTGAGACCAAACAAACGAACGGTTTTACCGCTTTAGAGAAATTGAAAGCATTTTAAAACTCTATTTGACTTCCAAAGTATTTTTTTACTCAAAATTAAAAAGTTTACTATTCTCCATTAATTTACTTTGATATTAAACGACTTTAGAAAGACACGTATTTAATTGTTTAACTTATTGTTTCATCCATTAATTCTTAACCAAGAAAATGATACCCAAAATACAGATATAGATAGTAAAACTTTACTACCTATATCTATACTATTATAATAAAGCGTAAACACACACTTCTTTGTCGCCTAAGATGTCAGCAATTACAGCATATATTTGAATATTTCTTCTTTTAATAAAAAGCCCTACACTTTCGTCATGCTTTAGGCTGTATATTTTAACGCCATTAAACTTAGGGGTAAATATTGTGGATAAAAACCCTAATGTGGGAAAGAGACCATAAGTTCCTGAAAACATCAAGGAAGCAAGGTTATCATGTCATGTTATTTTGACATTTGTAATTGATCATTTGACAAATGTAAACAATAAAATAAAATTTGCATAATTTCATGCGGATGAAGTCGCATGGGAACAGCTTGTCTCGTTATAATCTATTTCTTCTAATTTTAGACTTATTATGATATGCCAACTTCTATAATTATATCATTAGTCTTAAGAGCAAAAATTACATTGAAATGCCTGTGGTTACGTTCATTACGCAAGAATCGCGTACAAATATATAACAAACTGTATGCACATATTAATGGACATTTACAGACCTATTGCAACCATCTTAAACACAATAGACAGACCAAATAAATTGCGCTAAACAGTTTTACGCAATACTAAACGAATGAATAGTTGAGTTGAATGTTTGAGAACATTTTACCACCCACGTTATGTTTAGACTTTTGAGAACCATCTTTCCGTGTTCAGAATATGCCAATAGTTTACGAAAAGGTTCAAAAACTACATAAGAATAGTATTTCGAAATCAAAATGAATGAAGTGAGATCAAACATTAAATGTTTAAAAAAATAATTTTAATAAATAGTAAACAAGAGTTTACTGCAACATATAAAAGCGGCATAATCTATGTTTATTCTATTATTTAGCAGTAACAAGCGGTATTTCAACAGCGATATCATCGAAAATGTCCGTTGACAAGGCAGAGGGACGTGTGTCGAATGTTCGATATTATCTCGAATGCCTCCATTATTAGCATGCTAAGTAGCTTGGACTGCACGGACTGAGCGACCTCCTTTCTACCGGCTTTGTATTACTGTCTATTACTCCCGGCTTTACTTGTACAATGTGATTAATAGTTACGTTAGTAACACGATTATTGACAATTAAAGGTATAGAATACAGATTTCCAAATCTCGTAGACCCTCTTTAAATTAAAATGATGTCAATGAAACTCCTGCTTGTTTATTTCTTTTCTAAAACATGAACCAGGTTCTGCATGGACTTAAAGATAGACCTCTGTCTAGTAACACTTTGAAGAATCAGAATAGTACAATTGTCGCCATTCGTTTCTTTGCAAAAACATCTAAACAATGTGGAAGTTGATCTTTAGAAAACGTATAAAAAATTTCAAAACGACATTAACGGTACATTGAATCATAAAAACTAGAATCGATACAATTAATCGACTCGGAATACGAGGAATGGCGCGGGCGCAGACTATAATTACAGAACGATAAAAAAAAAGCTAACTGCCAATCAAGCGACCGACCACGCGTCACTTTTTATTGAACAGGTGCCGGCCGGCAGTTGCGCAACTCTTTGACAGCAACGGTACAATTTGACAGCTGTCAAAATGACACAAATCATCCGGAAAAGTAAGCTCGTTCGGAAATTAATAGTCGAATAGTGAAATGTCAAAGGGTATCCACGTGAGTGTTGACATTTGTTTTCGTACGCATTTGAACGTTAATGGTCACGTTCTGTTGTTGCAAAAACCGGTTTTATGAACGTTTTAAAATTAACACGCAAAGGTCATAACGGTTAATGAAAACCGCATATTCAATATGCCAGCTTTTTGCGCTGAAATACCTTTATTGCACCTTTAATGGCGGCAAAACTATCTTGATCAGCTTAAGAGGATATTTGTATAAAATGGTGTTTAAATGTTTAATATTGTAGCGAGTTATAACAATGATTTTAATTCTTACCTCACGGTCACCACGTGGCTTTCTACCTAATTCGGTGGAGCCACACTCCATTCTTTGCGCCTGAAACAAAACACAAAAGAAATGTAAGCTTATCAATTTTCAAGATAAGTGATCGATTGGCGTTTAACAAAAACTAGTTAGTTCAATAGTCGCTTAAAACTATGTTACTAGGCTATCATAGCTTCGATATCAAATAAATCTTTATAACAGCAATTAATCTGAACAAATAGTGAGCGGTGTTGGCAAAAAGGGCAGATCAATCAGGCGCATCAAACACGCAGGAAAGCGATCACATTGACTGTGCCGCATCCGTCGCAGATGCCGACCCATCCGGTATTATACGCACACAAATATCAACTGTATCCCATCGTAATAAAGCTCAAGACAACTGTAAAGTAGACTCTACCACCGCTACGTCTATTGGGTTCAAAACGTCCGTAAGTGGCTACAGGAAAGCCGGACAAATTAGCAATACACCGGGATGTTAATAATGGACAAGAGAATTACCATTGTAAACCATTGTTATAGATATAACTTTCGCAAAGTTATTAAGAACATAACGTTTACGACATGATTTTGAACTCGAGAACATTTCGGAAGCAAGTCGTGTAGCACACTCTAATTGTGTGACTCTCTAAGCCAGGTATGGGCAACCTTTGACACGTTGAGGGACAGCGGGGTTAGCGGGCAAATACTTTCGCGGGCCGCAACATCAAAGGATTTGATGTTTACCGCCTCACTGTCCCTCCCCGAGTATATGTACCTAATGTAAGGTATTTTAAACGATTTTTTTAATCTCTCGCGGGTCGTATCATATCTTACTGCGGGCCGGTTGTTGCATGTTTGTATATGCTCCAAGTGATCTAAGGGCCTATTCTTCCATAAAAAAGCAAGGTTGTGAAACTTAAAAAAGATCAGTGCAATCTGTATAGAGCTACAGCATGTTATTTAAGGGAAAACCAACTACCATGTAACCTAAAATGACAATTCAAGTAAGATAAGTACATATCTCAAAAAAAGCAATAAAAAAGTGTACCGCCGGCGAGTGTTAGCGGAAGGTTAAAATCGTTGTGTCCATGAATAACATCTTCGCTGGAGATTCTTGTCGTGCCGAAGTCAAAACCGTCGGTGATGTTCATCAGGTCGTTTTACAATCGAACTTAGCGCCGCTATTTCAGTACGTCTGCGGCCAATATTAATAACTACGGCGCCAATGCCTCGCTACACGGTTACTCTTCCATACGAACTCTCAAAATTTATGAATTTGTAATAATTAAATTGTTTTCCTTTTGCACAATGTCAAAGAAAGTAAGCTTGGCGTTTCCTTTGAAGACACTTTGGTGGAAGGAAACTTTTTTAAGTGATAGTCCTTCTATTAACAGGATGAAGACACATTTAAGTCGTGTAATTAATTCAGGGAATCCGGCCTTATAATGATGTTAATAATTTGTATGTAATCAATTCGACCCACGTTTACAACATTATCCTGTCGCAAGCGCTACTTAAATGCATAATATACAAGTTTCCTCTACAGTCTGTACTCATACATAATGTATGTTCATCTTAGAAATGCGTATTTTACTTATATTTATTCGACTTTAAAAATAGTTCCACATTAAAAGGTTTAAAAAAAACAACATTTATATTTTCTAAAGTGTTTATGCCTCCTTTTTGTAGTCGAAAAAGATAGCTATCAGATTATGCATAGATTAAATAAAACCATTCATTCCTCAACGTAGATCTTATGCACATTTGAAATTAAACTATCGCAGAACTGTTTAGTCTCGCTTTGATTCATATGAGCTTATATGGAGGTCCGCACACTACTCGATGTTAGTTGTGCAACTAAACAGTTCAATTGGTAGCGAAACAATCGACAATCACAATAGTTGTGCTATAGTTTAGTCAAACGTGTGAGCCTCTCAATCGATTTTATTCAACACACAATACGTGTTGGATTCAAAGCCTGGACTCGCAATTGTCGCTGATTCACTAACAAGTCTATATTTGCCCAACGTTAATCAGTCACGAGTCATTGAGGCAGCTTATTAAAATGCCAGCCGCGTCCTCTGTCGCCGTCCCGTCTGCCAGACCAACGGATTTAGTCGAAGGCTAATATGCGAAATCCGTATTTAGCAATCGCATTGTTTCACTGCTGGGTATGTGGTCTTTGATTTTATTTGAACACTTTTATGATGGCTGTAGAAGAAAATCATAAGATAACAATAGCAAGGATTCGCCTAAGTAATAATTAGATCTAACAATCACAACTTTATTCCTCCTTATTCCTCTTCTTTATAATAATTTTCTGTTAAATCTTACTAATAATGTAAATACTAAAGTTTTGATGAATGGATATTTGATAGAGTTTGTAGCCTAAACTACTGAACGCATCTTAACGAAATTTAGCATAGTTGTAGAGAATAGTCTGGAAGAACACAAAGGCTACTTACTTCTGTTATTTTTTAATTCCTTACAGACGGAGTTGGGGCAAAAACTAGTTTTAATAAAAATCTTATTCTCGGGTCAATCCCTGCTCTCTTTACTTTTACTTAAGACTCTACTTCTATTTCAGTTAATATATCCTACAATTCATAATAAATAAACAATAAAAGATAGCGTTTTATAAAAAATGTGAAACAGATCTCGGCCGTTGTGTTACGCACTGTTTGTCATTTAGAGTGACATACGAGGCGAGTTGTATAATTTAAGCCGGCGTTACGCACCTCGAGAGAATGCTCCACTGGGAACCGGAAGCTAATCGATATTCGATTGATCATCGTATCTATCCGCGAGCATCTAATACTGGTTTAAACCGGTAATATGCAGACGTTACTAGTGTAAACCAGTTACATCGTTGATGACTACTGTCTTAGCTTTTTTAATTTCTTTACAATATTCATGCCACTGGCTGATAGAGGTTCATCTTAAAAATGACGTCACTGTCAGATAAGAGAACAAAATCCGATATTACCATCACATATTTTACACGTTGGATTGTCAGACAATTTAAAATTTAGCGGGACAAGACCTTATCCTTTTGTTGGAATTAAAAAAAAAACAATAATTGAGGTAATCTTTCTTTTGTTTATGTTAGTTAACTCCACTTTAAAGTTTTCCAAATTAGATTTTATCTGTCGCATGCATACTTGTTTAAAGCTTACTTGAAAGACTGTGTTAAGCCAATGTCCGGTTTCCCAAGTATTTTAATCTAGACTTGTAAATTTCTTTCAAAGGTATTTTAATGCCCATTAATAATAGTAAAACCGAGGTGTGTACGCGTTACTAAAATGGTAACAGGCCAGAAATAGATCGTTGCGTGTTCAAATTGCGTTATGTTTATAACTTGTAACTTTCCAATACTTCACGTTTTATTGACTGTTTTGGTGGACGAAATACTTAGTTGGTTTAAAAGTGGACATTTCAAGTTTTTTTTCTAACTAGCTTTCGCCCGCGACTCTATCCTCGCGGAATTAAAAAACACTAAAAGTAAGTAAAAAACGAACACAGTAAACCGGACCGCTCACAAGAGCGAGCTGGCGGCGTACTGTGGACGCCCTCTGGGGACACTTTGGGGACATAGGAATAGAAGAGAGAGAGAGAGAAAACTAAGTAGCATATGTGTTCTTCCAGACTACCGTCTACATCTATGCCAAATTTCATCGAGATCCGTTCAGCTGTTTAGGTTACAAACTCTAACAAACATCCATCCATCTAAACTTTCGCATTTATAATATTAGTAAGAATACGATTAAAATCTACCCTTTTTACTTTATTACATTCTACCAGCTAACGTTTTATAACTTTAATGAAATTCGTGTTGTTTGCTGTTTATCACTTTGTTTTGTTTTGATAACTGGAGAGCATTTGTAAGTTGATATTAAAGTAAGGTAGTAAGTAAATACGAATTACAACTGTATCAGGGCTGTGTAACATGCTGACTATTGTCCATTTACAAACAGTGGTTTTGTAAAATGAATACAAGTGGCGCTAAAATTTAAACTAATACAATAAATTTGCCGTGAATTTCATAAGAAATGTACGTATGAGAGTCACAACAATATCTATAATAATAATTAATAAATGTGTTAGGACAGTGTAGACTTACCATCATTTTAATTGTACTAATATTACAAACGCGAAAGTTTAAATGGATTGATGGATAGATGTTAGTTTGTACGCTAAAGTGCTAAACCGAACGAAATAGTTTGGAAGAACACAGAAGCTACTTTCTTTTGTTTTTTCCACGCGGCCGGTGTCGCGGACGTAAGTTAGTGTGCTATCAGCAGCTTTGTAATTATCTTATAGCTACTGATTTCTATTTAGACATTAGTAATAGTGAAAGTTAACCAATTGGAAAAAAAATCAATCCTAGAACTGTAGCAAGTTGTTGCATAAGACATTAACTATTGTGTAAAGATACTAGACAGTCATACAAGAATTTATGAGTATAAATTACTTTATTAAAAATTATTGTGCTAATATAAACTAGCTTTGGCTCGCGATTACGTCCATGGAAAATAAAAAAAAAGCAATTAGCCTATGTGTTCTTCGAGACTATCCTCTACATCTACTAAATGTATAGATCCGTTAAGCAGTTTAGGCGATGAACAATAACAAACATCCATCCATCCATCTAAATTTTCGTATTTACAATATTAATAAGATGAGAAAGGTTTGATCCATGGATATCTTCGCAACTATTTCTAAAATGGCTCAATAGATTTCGATGGTATTCGGTACAGATGTAGAATGTATTCTGAAAAAGCACAGGCTTACTAGTAGTAGTAGTAGAAGGGGCTAAGGTTTCCGCAACTTCACGACTGGCGCGTATTTTGCGTACCAACAGGACCTCTAGACATCCCAGCTCTCCAAAGAATCCCAGCACAGGCTTACTGAGTTTCCTTTTAATTCCGAGCGAACGAAGTCTCGGGCAAAAACTAAGTTGGTACAATAATTAATTCTAAATCTAAAGAAGTGATATTTAATGACCAAATGGTCAACTGTGTCCGTGATGTAATAAAATGAAAAGCCTTACGTAAACATGAAAGTCGAAGACC